GACACCTGGATGGCACAGGGTTTAGAGGTGAACTGAAAAGTCTTGAGATAGAAATATCTGGCTGGCCTGAGCCCAGTCTTGGTGTAACTTACCTTACAAGGGTGTTGTGAGGATAAAATGGAATGTTCTCCAATGTATGCAACTGACTCTTAGCAAAGGATGAGATACCAGTGTATTAAGTACATCTACTATGTATCTGTCAGGTGTGTGGCTGAAGCTCTCCTTTTTGCAACCTGCTTAAAAGTTTATAAAAGCAAGATCAGTACAGGTAATCCTTGGCATATGATGGCAGTTGGGACCAGAATTGCCATCACTAAGTGACCCGGTTATAATGTGCGATGTCATGTGACCATGCCACTTAGCAATGACAGTTCCAGCAGTCCTGGTTGTCATCATTAAGTGAGGACTGTGTGGGTCATTTAAGTAAGGACCTCACATGACCACAACTTCCAACTTTCTGCCAGCTTCCCCATTGGCTTTGCTTGTGGGAAGCCAGCAGGGAACATCAGAAATTGTGATCATGTGACTACAACTTGCTGCAAAGTTGTAATTGCGAGCCAGGTGTCAAGCACCCGGATTGCAATCACATGACCGCGGGGACACTGTGATGGCCAGAACTCTGAGGACTGGTCGTATGTCCCCTTGTTGTGCGCCATCGCAAGTTCAAATGGTCACTGAATGAATGGATGTAAGCTGAGGACTACTTGTATATGATGCGTTGGAGAAAGTGTGCTTGATAGCTTTATGCAATCATTTTTAACATCATGAGGGTTCAGTGCAACAGCACAGGGCAAGAAGTCCCATAGGTTCAATATGTATTATGCAAATCATTATTTGATGTTAATTGTCTCCACTATGTTTCTTATTTTAATTCCCAAGTGTTTACATACTGAGCGCAAGTAATATTGCCCCTATGTATTCCATGGATCTCAATCATTCATTTGTAACATCATGTGCTGTTTTATATCGAACCCTCATAAAAAATATTGTTAGACTAAAAATCCCAACTACTTAATTATGTTCTTCAACTGCCTCATTTTTGGTAATTAAAAAAATATGTAAGATGACTACAATAGCTTTTATATATTTTATACAATATTTAATAAACTATTTCTGTGAGATTAAACAATGTTAACTATGTAATGCACAGAGTGCTATGGCAATAGTGTCTAATAAGTTCATAATGGTATAAATGTCAGGACTGTTAATTAGAGTTCCAAATACATGCTCTTACAATATGATCCATTTAATCAATTTATATAACTAATACTTTTGAAATATTACAGCTGCTATTAACACATAGAATTAATCCTCTTTTACAATGTATCTAACCTTTAATCATAAACTTCCTGAGTTCAGTTTTATTTCCCAGTATCTAAATAACGCTTAGGATCATCCAACACAGATTAGAGCCCTATGTGGAAAGGGAGATGCCAGAGATTCAAGCTGGTTTCAGAAAAGGCCGAGGAACACGAGTCATTATTGCTGATGCACACTGGATAATTGCAAAAGCCAAAGAATACCAAAAAGGAGTAAATCTGTACTTCACTGATTATGTCAACCATGTCAAACCATGGAATATGCTTAGGAAAATGGGCATCCCAGAACATCTCACTGTTCTCATGAGAAACCTACATGCAGTTAAGGATGGAAAATAGCAAAACAGACTGGCTCCTGGTTGACAAGGAATGAGATAAAGCCATATGCTCTCCCCTTATTTATTCAACCTATATGCTGAATATACAGGTAGTCCTCAACTTATGACCACAATTGGGAGCAGAACTTCCATTGCTAAGCAATGAGGTTGTTAAGTGAGTTGCACCTAATTTTACAACCTTTTTTGCTGCAGTCATTAAGTGAATCACCATGGTCATTAAGCAAATCATATGGTCATTAGGTGAACCTGGCTTCCCCTATTGACTTTGCTTCTTGGAAGGCCCCTGGGAAGGGTGCAAATGGTGATCATGTGACCCTGGGACACTGCAACTGTCATAAAGATGTGACAGTTGCCAAGTGCCTGAAATTTGATCACATGGCCGCAGGGACACTGCAACAGTCATAAGTGTGAGGACCGGCTGTAAATTACTTTTTTCAGTGCTGTCATAACTTTGGACAGTCGTGAAATGGTCGTAAGTTGAGGACTATTTGTATATTGGAAAGCTGGACTGGAAGAAGATGTGTGGTTTTAAAACTGGAGGAAGAAATATCAGTAACCTGTGCTATACTGATGACACTACTCTGATAGCTGAAAATACATATGGTTTGCAAGCTCTAGTGATGAAAATCAAGGAGCACAGGGAAAAAAAAGGGATTAAGACCAAATGAATGACAACAAGTACAGCAACCAGCCTTAGAATTAACAATGAAGATAATGAAGTAGTGGAGAATTGCTGCCTTTTAGGACTGACTATCACCATAAAGGAACTAGCAGTCAAGAAATACATTGGAAACTAGCACTTGGCAGAGTAGCAATGAAGGCTTGGAAAAGAGGTGCATTGTGTTTCTACTGACAAAGATGAGAACTGTACAGGCACTGGTTTTCCCTGGGACACTGTATGGTAGCGAAAATTAGACTTTGAAGAAGCATGATAGAAAGAGTATCCAATCACATGACCGTGGGGAATATTTTTGAACTTTGGTGTTGGAAAAGACTGCTGAAAATACCATGGTAACCTAGGAAAACAATCAAATGGATCACAGAACAAATCAATTCAGAGTCCTCACCTGAAGGACAAATGACCAGCTCAAATTATTTTTGGACACATTATGCAAAGACTCTCTTGACAAGTCAATAGTGCTGTGAAAGGTGGATGGAAAGAAAAAAAAAAAAGAGGACAACCAGCAGTAAGGTGGATGGACTCAATTATAGCAATGCACCATTGGAAGACCTGAGGGTAGGTTGGGGACAGACCACTCTGGAAAAGGTCTGTCTGTGTGGTCACTTAGAATTAACTCCAGCTTGATAGCACCCAATCATCATTTTTATTAGGAAAAAAACCTTTTCTTCTGTTTCTTTTGCAGATGTTTGATTAATTTTACCTTTTTTTGCTAGCTCTTTATAGAGGATTCCATAAATTCCTGCCTTTAATGGCTACTAATTTTTGCAGCTCAAGCTAAATCCTGAACACATTCCAGACTTTTACCTATCACCATGTCTTCCAGATAACATAATAAATCAGAATGGTTGAACATAGTGGAGTCTCATAACCCATCACAAGTACTGTATAAATTTGTGTGTGATCTTTTCCCCAAATGGGGAAAAGGCACAGGGTGCTGGAGTAGCACTGAGGAGACCCTAAACCAAGTCTAACCACAGGTCACTAGATAATTTTGGGCCAATCATGATTTTTCAACCAATCCCATTTCACAGGGTTGCTTTAAAGGAAAAATTAGAGGAGAGAATGTATGCATAATACCTTGAGCTCCTTGAGGAAAGGTGGGATAAGAATCTAAAAAATAAAAGGATAAATAAATTGCTTTCCCATCTTTTAATACCAACAATTATGAATCCCTTGGTTCTAAATCTTAAATATGCATGAGTAAAATATTGTTTACATATAATTTTAGCCTAATTTTCTCTAATATTTTAACCATAATCTTTGTGGACATATGCAGCCATTTTCAGTCACTTCCCCCTCTGAAATCTTTGGCATTTAATAAGTCATTATAAATTCTTCTTTATTGCACTTCTCCCAATTAATTTTCCACAATAACTTAGCATTTTCCTCAAAGTCCCTAATGTTTTTCCTACCTATAAAATTACAGTTAGAAGTATTGAAACCAATGCAGTAATTGCTAACTCATTTTAATGTTGTTTTATTCTATATAAAATCTATTTAAGCTTTACACATTTAAATGGTGTTTTATGATGATATATCAGTTCCTCTGTCATTCCACTAATTCCAGATTCCAAATTAAAAAGATGACAACAAAATATTTAATACATTTTTTTACTCTGTCCTATCTGTCCAACACAGACTGATTTTTGAATAGAATTTAACCAAACTGAACTCCCATTTAATGCCCATTTTTGTCATTTTTGTCTTCATGAGTTCATATGATTAATTTTAGCATAATTACTAAAGCAACTTGAATTTTGGCCACATAATGACCAAATAACAGGGATGAAACTATTTTAATAGGGGAATAAAATCCTTGCATTTTCTGAACACTCAAATATGTTCTCAGCTTTTAAATATTTGACACCAGGGCTTTTCACTACTATGGGAGGCCTACAGGTATCACCTCCTGCCCTGAAAGAAGGAACAAAGCTAGCCTTCTCCTAAATTCCATGAAACCACTGATGAACATTTCCCTTAAATAAAGAGGTTTTGTGGTTACACAGAAGACTGCCATATCACTCTATCAAGTCAAACCACTCGTTCCTTTAGCTGGTATTTTGCTAGTACTGTACTGGGGAGCCAATATTTCAGACAGAAATCTTTCCCAACCCTATCTGGACTTGCCATGTTCAAACTTAGGATCTATTGGAAGCATTGATTCTATCTGTGAGCTATGCTTATTCCCATCCACTGATGGGATCCTGTCCCATCAGTATCCTTTCAGCATCTTGCTCTCTGCCATGTTCACAGCTATACTGTAGTAGCTGAAGAGGAAGCATGGGAAAGGGGATTGTATTACAAAAAATCCAACCTGAGTCAGAATGAGTCCTAAGTCTGCAAAGGGTGTGTCAGTTGGATGAAGTCTTGACCACTCACCCAGCTGAATGTATTCATAGGTTTCTTGGGACATCTGGTTGGTCACTGGAGAAAACAGGAGGCTACGTACAGTATTTTTCTAGTATAATCCAATATGGCTACTCCTGAGTTCTTAAACACCGATGTTGATAATGAGGATGATAATGATGGCAGCAAAAATAGAAATGTGACAATTGTATACACAAGTTTCCATTTTTAAAAAACCAAATGTTCTTTTGCCCTTTTTCTTTTGAAGAATTCTTAGGCAGGGAAAATCAGTGCTGTAATTTAGTAAGCCTGCGCATGTCTACTCAGAAGCAAATTTCACTAAATTCAATTAAGCTTATGTCCAGGTAAGTTTATATAGGATTGCACCCTAAACAAGATAGAGAATTCATTGTCCCTCAACCTAAGATACAGCCCTGTCTGCATGATATTTCATTTTTATACTTGATGGGCTGATATTTGACAACAGCTGATATATGTCATGTAAAGATATTTTTAGTACTTGACAGTATTTGATGAATGACAAGTTCTCAAATGTCCGCCATAGCAATCAAGATATGCCAAGAAACCTAAAACATTGTTTTTTTGCAAAATGTCACCTTCAAAAATGTAAAAGTAAACCTGGCAATGTTCCCTTTCATATTTACAATACTGAGCATCTCAGTTCCACAAGTGTGGAGAATTTGTGACTATTAGTTTCTGTTCTATCCAGTTCTGCTTCCATATATTAGTCCCATTGTTTCTAAGCATCACTTCACTTTTATGGATGAGTTGTCCTTGCCTCACACTTAAGTTAAGCTTACCTAGCTTGGTGCCCTCCAGATCTGTTGCAAAACCAGCTCTCTGAATTCCCAGCCAATTTGGAACCCCACAAGATGGAAAAGGTTGATCTGAACAGTCCATTGAGAGTTGTCCATTTACTCCCCTGCAGCTTCTCATGCTACCTGTCTTTTCTTCTCATCCAGATTATTCTCTTCTGGTTCAACCTAGCTGCTGCCTCTATTGGCGATGAACACTGTGGGAATCTTTCTTCTGCCAACAATATAACTGGTAAGTAAGTTCCAATACTTTGACTCTTCCTCTATCAGAACAGCACATTGTCCCACTTGATGGACAATCATTTCCTGGGGACAATACAAGTGATCACCAAGGACTGGCTGATTTCTGGAACTAGGGCTATGCAAAGATGTGATGTCCACACCTTTTTGTAATGCAGCCCAATGGGCCTCTGAAAGGCTAAGCATGCAGCCTTGGTATCTGGAACTATGCTCATTAGCCTGGTTTCAGTAGATGTCATTCTTTTCATGCTTTTATCCATTGTTTTTTTATTGCAAAGATATATTCTACATCACATTGTATAATGTGAGTTCCCGCAAGCCATCTTGTCACACTTGCAGATTACAATCAGAAATCAAAGTTGGCATCCTCCATAAGTGTTGGATTAAAACTCCCATAATCCTCAGCCATAATGCCCATTCACACCAGATTGAGCAAGCCTGGTTTAAACAACTGCTCAGAGCACACAGACATCTCAGTGGCCCATCAGGCAGAGCCTTAACCTGTAACCGCCTCTAATGAGCCTGTCTGCAACTCTCAACATTTGGGAGGTGAGCAAAGATAATAAATTAAGGATTGTGGAAGTTGGTCAGGGACACGCTCTGATGAAAGAGCCATTTGTTCAAGCAGGTGTAAAGGAGAGCTAACTTCTCTATCCAGTAGGAACTGAAGGGCCACATCTAATGTTTTGCACTGAAAAATGTCTGCAATGGAAGAAGCTGGGGAAGAATTGTGGATGACTCTTCCTCTGTCTATTGTCTGTTGAGATTTGAGCACTAAATTCAGGTTCTGCTTTGGAATTGACAATTTACACTGCAGCCTAACCAGAAATAAGTTTTGTTATTTTTGGTGCCACCTGTTCCCGATAAGTGTGTGCAGGAGCACTCTCCTGATTAATGTCACCCAGTTCCATCCAGCTTGCTGGCAGAGTTCCTAACAGAGGCCTGCAGCCGGTTTGCTCCTATAATAAAGGCAAGTGCGGGCATAAGGAATCTGGTGACGGCATTGTTGTTAAAGAGATAGGACCAATTATTCACTGTGCCTGAATACAACGCTCTGAGGATCCAGTCCCAAGTGCCAGTTTTTCTTTATTTTGCCTGCCAAAAATTCTTGCTTGCTGTCAGCCATCAGCATTACCTGCCTCCCCAGGTCTCCCCATGTATCTGCAATTAGCACCTGAATCTGGGTATCTGTGCCCTTCTCACGTGCCATTGCTTTCTCTTGTTTATATTGCATTGATCAAAGCCTCCCTGTGGCTGAAGTCCCTTCTGTCTGCTGCAGGCATCTTCCAGTATTTGTGGGAAATTCTCCTTCTTCTACAAGACTTGATATGTGTGGGTGTAATTTGAAGGAAGTAAGGGAGGAGATAGTTTGGGGGTACGTGGCAGCAGTACACCTGGTCAAGCAGAGTTCTGGCCATCAAGAAGGACATGTAGCAATTTGTGTGAAGTACAGCGAAAGTGTCCAGAAGCCCTAAGGAACCTAAAGGGTTTAATCAGCATCACTGCTGAACGTGTGTTTGATAGCTCTGGGCAACACTATTTAAACTCTGTTTTTACCAAGCTTGTATGCATACGGCATAAATGACACCCGTTAATTTATAATAATTCATTCGTAAGTTAATTTCCTGCCTAATTAACAAGCACTCTTCACCACTCTTACTCCTCTGTGTGAATTATCTTTGCTAATCCATTAAATCATGCTGAGCAATTTTGCGAGCATGTGAGCGTGAAGGAATTCTGATTTAGGCCATTGTAAGAGGAATGGGGAACTTGAGGGGAGGTGCTGGAGTTTGATCAGACAAGAAATGGGGAGAGGGGCTGTTACTTTGCCTTGTCACCCCAGTATCTTAAATTCTGTGCCAAATCAAGCTAAGTTTTATATTTTGATCTAAAGATCATATTCTTTGTTGGTGCATTTGCTGCTAGCATCTCCTGAACCAAACTAGTTATTTGTTGAAAAGTAGATATACATGAAGCTGCACAAAAAACTTGTAGAGTTGCCCTATAGAGTTTTGCAGACCACGGAAAAGCCTGATCTATTTAGCATTTGTCTATATAATTTTAGAACTTGTAATCTTCTGTGTATTGCATTTTATATGTGTATTGCATATATTTATAAAATATAGAAAATATTTTACATATAAAGTATATTATTATTTTATTATTTTATTTATTATTATATATTAAATAGTTTATAGGCATATTTTATATTTGCATTTTGACAGTTTATGTATTTATTTTGTGGTGGCCATAGTCAATTTTAACTAATTAACTGCCACCTCATTCCCGATCATAGACTTTTTCTCATAAACCTTCGGTACTCACCCAAAGTGGCATTTTGAGCCATTAAACTAGCAGCTGTTCACTGGAAAATTGGAAAAGAAGGCCCAAAATAATAGTACAATCTACAACAGGGTGCCAGAAGTTGCTTAAGCAAATCACCTGTTGATCTAGACTTGCATATGTTTGTGAGTGAGAAAGAAGATGAAAGAGAAAGATCAGTTTTTGTGCAATTTAATGGTTCGGCAATTACAAGAATCAGTTTGGTGTAGTGGTTAAAGTATCAGATAAGAGATCGGGAGACTGTGAGTTCTAGTCCTGCCTTAGGCACAAAGCCATGTAGGTGACCTTGGGCCAGTCACGCTCTCTCAGCCTTTTTGTGCAATTTAATGGTTCGGCAATTACAAGAATCAGTTTGGTGTAGTGGTTAAAGTATCAGATAAGAGATCGGGAGACTGTGAGTTCTAGTCCTGCCTTAGGCACAAAGCCAGCTGGGTGACCTTGGGCCAGTCACGCTCTCTCAGCCCTAGGAAAAAGACAGTGGCAAACCATTTCTGAAAAAATGCTGCTGAAAAAACTGTGGAGGGCAGTTGCCAGGAGTAAAAACTGGTTTGAAGGCATAATTGTTGAGAGCCAATTTGATGTAGTAATTAAGGCACCAGGCTAACAACTGGGAGACTGGGAGTTCTAGTCCCACCTTAGGTACAAAGCTGGCTGGGTGATTTGGGGCCAGTTGTTCTCCCTCAGTCCTAGGAAGAGTGGAATCACAAACTGTTTTTGAAGCCTAGATATGGTAGCCCTAAGTATGCATGTGTGAAATCAAAACACAGGACTCCAATGCAAAATAATCAAGGCTTCACTGCAGTGTTTATTAGACAGTGCGCACTGGAGGGGATCCACCAAGGGTTAGTGGGAGACACTCCCCTACAGGCAAAATGAATACCCTGATATTTATACACTTCTCTAAGAAGGGGAAGGGAAAAAGAACGCATACACATCCT